GTAGATGAGTGTGTGATGTTGGGATGCGTTGTGGTTGATTGCAAGAGTGCTTATTATGTTTGAGGCAGGAATTTAGTAATCTATCTGCGGATTTGCAGCTGTTTACCTGTGTGTCGAGGATATCTGAACCTGGCACACCATATCTGTGAGTGCGTTATTGCCGATCATTGCGTAAGTTTCTGCTTCGTATGCCTTGTATTATTGGTAAGTGCAAGCATTATTTTGTTGTTGTTTGTTGGTGATAGACGAAATCAGTATTTTCCATATGTTACATCAAGTACCCTCACAAACACACCACATTGGAATGAAGATATGCTGATTATTTTGCTAGCCACCATGGCCTGCTCGTGGTAGAACCCAGATTTGATTTGCCATCTTTGAATTAATTTGGTTTGTGCCTATAAATGTCTATTTTAGGGACTTAGTTGTTTGTGATCACATTTAGATCCATGCTTATCTGCCTCATGATTTGCATGGAGCCCGAATTTATTTCAGTCATGTGAAATATGGGGCAAGTCCGGCACCTGCATTTGCTTCTAATGTTCCTGTTAAATGATTAAACAAAAAGTGTTGTAAATCCACAGGAAGAATTGGTCACTGTGCAACTGAAGTTGAGATGTGGGATAAGGCTCTCACAAGCACCGTGCACTCGGTTTCATTGAAGGACTAGGCTGCGATGAGCAGAACACTATTGTTTTTTTCTGTGATTGTTACAATCTGCTCCAGTCTATTACAGCCTGCTTCCAACATTCCACCATTGCTGTGGAAACTCACTCTCAAAATGTAGAACCTGCCCAAAAAGCTTGCTCAAAACCGGCTCCAGACCGCTCGCATTTGTTCCAAAATTGGGGGGAATATAACATAAATAAAGCAGCTTTTATAGCCTTATTTCTTATGGAGTAACCAGGAGAATGGACAGCTGGATGTGTCGATGTCAGCTTCATGCCTTTATCAAAACAAATATCAGTGATGGTAGATAACTGTTGATAACTGGTGTGACTTTTGTCCACCATCTGTCCATTTTCCTGGCTAATTTTTAAGGACTTGGACTTTTAGTGCTGTTCTTTGTATATGTATAATTTTCCTTGCAAATACCCTTAACAACTTGCAGAAATATGACATGCCAACAGCAGCAGATCATGTTTATAGGAAAAGGGATGTTGGCATATAAGAAATGTTACCAGGGGTGTAGCTTCATAAAAATGATTGGAGTTGATGAGTTAGTACATGTGTATAGTAGCATCAAAATATGCAGAAACTAGTGTTCACCCCTAGATTTTCCCCAATTCCTGCTCCACATGGAAAAGGAGGAGCGAGGGAGCAGAAGCCTATAGATGAATAGGATCCTGCACCATTGTATGCTGCATACATGTAGGGTCATGTAGCTGTGAAGTTTTGTTAATAGCCAAATAGTTATGCAGGTTAAGTATATCTTCACAGCATGTTCACAAATTTCACAATTTCAGGTTGCGTAAAAGAGGGAACGAGAATAATGCCTGAACTTCCTAAAATTGTTCTCTTGTGCATCAGTGCATATGTACTCAGCATGCTGATGTGCAATGATCACTGAAACAGGCATCTGCTGTGTGTCACGTCTGACCTCATGTGGCTGCCTGTCAACTCACTGGGGGGGGGGGGGGGGGGGGAAGACGCTGAATAGCTGTGTACTTGTGGAAAGGTTCACTGATATGGATGGGGCTGAGGACAGATACTGGGTAAGAGCAACACCAAAATGAAAGGTTTGTTTCTTTCCTTATTTGCCCCATCTGATGCTCCTGATAGGGGGGGGGGGGGGTAGCTGAATTCCCTCCAACTGAACAGGATCCAGTATCCTGGCTGTGTCATCTGACCCAGCAAGACCACCTAACAGCTCACTCATGAACACAACAGCTAACATGTGTCATGCCTGACCTAGTGTGCCTGCTTAGCAGTTCACTGATTGGGACCAGAGCATGACTTGTTATATATGATCTAGTGTGAATGCTTGAAAGCTGTCATGGGTGTAGAACATAATCTTGCATGTCTGACCCAGTGTGCCTGTTCCACACAAAATTTGTGATGGGTGTGGAGCATGACAGTGTTATTTCTGACCCGGGGTGACTGCCTGGCAGCTACTGATTGCGATGTACTACCATGCACGGTAGCCGTCCTACATTTTAGTGACGGCTTCCATTTTATATCGTTGGCGTTCGGTGGCGCAAAACGCTTGTATATTGCCGCATGACGCGCGGTCTGGAATATCGACGAAGAGCGCGGACAAAGCATATGGCGTTTAAGACCAATTACTGATAAATAAGACTCGGACACGATACCGCATGGTGGCAACTGGGTGAGAACACATTGCAGCACAATCTAAACAGGAGGGAATAAATATCTAGTACCGATAAGCCAAATTAAGAGCTTCAATAGTGCGCGTCACGTACGTCGCAATCGCCGCAGAGGACAAAGAAATGTCTGATTCTTTCATACCTCGCACGGATTGGGAAGCTGCTGACCAAAGCCTTGTCCTAAAGCTCTTCAAGCAGAAATGTGAACTGTTTTTCTCAGTGAAAGAAATCAAGAAAGAAAAACGAGTGGACCATATCTTGCTGTTCTCGGGAGAGCAAGGCCTGAGATTCTACAACTCATGGGGCCTCCCAGCAGAGGAGGCGAAGAGCCCTTAAAAGGTATGGGACAAATTCCAGACCCAAGTTGAGCCTTAGACCAACTTCAGAGTGGCCAGGCTGTTCCTCCAACGCCTGAAGCAGGAGGAAGGCGAGTCGTTTGATCACTTTGTATCCAGATGTAAGCTCCCGGCCCAAAAGTGTGCCTTCAGAGATGGTCAGGAGTTCAATGGAAGGGTCATGGAACAAATTTTCATTGGCATACGCCATGCTGAGGTTCAAAAAGAGCTCCTCAGCAAAGTGCTGGAGGTGGGCTGCACACGTGAAGCGTCCATGCGGCACATGCAGCAACTGAAGAGCGTCCAATCCCAAGACGCCCACCAAGCAGTGCACTATGTGCAAAGAAGCCAAAAAGGTGACAAAACATGCAACAGATGTGGCCACAAAGCTCATCTTCGCGAATAAGAGTGCCCAGCCATGGGTTCAACATGTACCGTGTGTGGAAAGCCGAACCACTGGAGTACCGTCTGTCGGGAGGTTCAAGATGTACAGCCAAGGGACAACAAACCGAGGTCACGGAAACAACGACCGAGCTGTCCACACTCCGTCCCGGACAACCCATCCGCGTACAGCACCCTCAGAGCGGCCGATGGGAACCAGCGACCGTCGTGAACCAGCGGCCTGAACCAAGGTCGTACACCATCAGAGTGGCCAACGGCGCGGTTTATCGGAGGAACCGGCGACACCTGCGCAGCCTCAGCCCGTCTCCAACTCGCTTGGACAACACCACCCCAGCCAGGACGATGTCCGCGCAAAGCAGCCCACCTCCATGAGCTGCCTGTGCTCAGACGAGCCCCAGAGCAGTAGCGGTACCCGACCACGAACCGCCAAACATCCCAACTTCCCGTTGCGGTCGAGTTCTGAAGAAACCCGGTCGCCTGGACCTATAGCGTGTAGTGTACATATGTTGAAAAGGGGGATGCGATGTACTACAACGTACGGTAGACTCCCTATATTTTAGTAACGGCTTCCCTTTTATATCGTTAGCGTTCTGTGGCAAAGAATGCTTGTATATTGCCGCATGAGGCGGGGTCTGGAATAAAGACGAAGAGCACGAGCATAGTATATAGCGTTTAAGACAAATTACTGATAAATAAGACTCGGACACGATACCTCAGCTTTCAGGTCACCAATTCGAGAATTTCTCAGCATTTTCGGTGCCACCACAAGATAACGGATGATGAGAAGCTGAAGGAAGTGAAGCAGGACATGAAATTGTTTTCTAACAACCTTGCAACAAGGTGCTCATCATTCATTACACACGCACGCACGCACTAACACATTCCGTCTGACGAGCGTACGCACGCACGCACGCACGAACGAACGACAGACAGACAGAGATGTGGATATATATATATATATATATATATATATATATATATATATATATATATTGTTATTCCTTTTGCCCTAGTGGCTGTCGAAAACAAGCCTCTGTGAACTTCTTGTGTCAAATTTGTAAGCTGCTTGGTAGTGACCTAGTCAAATAAGGTCAGACCTCAAGTAACATAGCATCAGGTCAATAAAATAAGGCCATACTGTAAGTGTGAGTCCGAGGTGCCTCAAATCTCATGCAATCAACTTAAACCATTTAATCTTGAGCCTGGCGACATGCTGTGCTCCAGTGATTTGCTTTGCCACGCCCTAAGCATGTTGATTGACCCCATGGCTGAGCATTCGTGACTCCGGAGATGAGTTTGGTAGCCACATCTGGTGCACATTTATATCTGCTATGTGCGACCCCCCCCCCCCCCCCCCAACCAGCGCGCCGCGTTCAACATTCAACGCACGAAAAATGCTCCATCCTACGCGAGGTCGCGACAAGTCTTGGCCGGCCCCCCTTTTCGTGACTCGTTCTCAGTGGCAAAACGCTGTACTAAGAGGTCACTCCCGTTTCACATCCCAGCAATTTTCAGGAGAAAATCCCGGTTGTTACGAGCGCATGGCTGTAAGCCGAACACTATCCAGTACTCAGAGATCAACTGACGACAGCCTGGGCAATAGCTGGCCGAAACGTTGGGTGCATGCGATGTATATACGCACAAAACGAGGAAAAAACTCTCATAAAAATATTTCTTCCACAACACAACGACCATTTGTGACAAAACGCGCTCAAAGATGACAGCTTTATGAAAAATTGCCTACTCTTAATATACTGCTGAAAATTATGCTCACTTCAAGCCGCAAAACAACTCCAACCCGAGCCGCGGACTGAACCCACGCCACGTTCCCCCTGCCCACCTCCCCGCAGCGTTTCATGAGCTATCGATTGGCATGCTGTCGATAGAGACAACTTCCGACCCCGACCGCCTGTGCGACCGCCCGGTCGGGACTGACCTGAAGGTGCCCTCCTTTTCTTCCTGCTTCACCACGTATGTGACGATTGGAGTCATAATGACCTTGTTGACGACAGTCGCTACGACGAAGAAACCGTAGATGCTGAGGATCCCAATGTACCCCGTGCTGCCAGTGGAGAGCAGAATGGGCGTTTAGGGCATTGTACGGCATCAGAGACCAGGTAAAGAGTGAATGTCTATCGAATGACAGTAGCAACGTCGCTCCACCCAAAGCATGGGCTTCCAGCGTTATGAGCATTTTATGGATCTGATCACAGCAGCTGACAGTTGTTCGGAAGACAATGACAACAGTCGTATCATCCTCCCGACACATTTCCTAAATCCCTTGTGTTACAAAAGATCGTAAGTGATTCTAAGCTTGTTTTCCATCGACTACAATGACATGAAGCACAATGCCAATGCACGGACGGTGTGTTTAATTATATCTCGCCTTACCTGCAGTTCTTTGGTTAGGTCGCTTCACTGCTCATGCCAGTTACAACGTGTCCCACCTCACAGCACGTCACAACAGGCGGCATTCCGAGCTAGTTCTAAACAGGATTACCACCGATACTACTTAAAACGGAATGTCCAATGCGATGCCTTCCAATAGCACAAGGCACAAAACGCAAAAACGCGCGACACCCCCTGAGGGAACCTTTCCAACGTAACTTAATCTCGATCACTGAGTGTGTCCATGACAAAAGCAGACAGGGGACATCTTGCAGTGCACAGATCGCATTATTGTTAAATGCGCTGGGTATTTTATCATATATGCCAACAAACTTAAATTTCACCTAAATTGCAGGATTGGACCACATAATCTTGCAGAGCACGTATCATGGGAATGTAAGATCAGGAACACAAGGTTTGTACAAAAGCCAGGAGCTACTGGGGCACACGCTGAACAAAAGCTGACCACGCAACTCATCCTGTGGTTTGCCCGGTGGTGTCCCACTGACCCAGCCTGCACACGGGGCGCCGGCGGCACCACGTGATGGGTCGACTCACTTGACGTAGACGCTGTACGTGTAGTATCCGACGATGAAGGGCGCCATGATCAGCTGCGAGAACATAGTGCTGAGCGTCTTGCACATCTTGTCCACGTCCTGCGTGATGCGCTGGTCACTGCGGCAACGGCAACATCAGCTGTGTCACTGGCAGGAGCCGGCCCAGACGGGTTTCCCCAGCACAGACGGCTGTCCTAACCCAGACGACTGGCTCGCCCTCGTATGAGAACTGACCTGAGACAGCAGGTTGTGTTACACTGGAGATGCACGCCAATGCACTTAACAAGCGCTATCAAGTCTCAAACGTTCTGGTCCCTGAGCCTAGAGGCAACTAGTTTTCGTTAAGTTTGAGCTTTTGGCTTTCTTTTATTACCACAACACGAACAACGACAGCGCGCAAGAAGCACGTCACCTCACGTAAGGCCTCGCCGGGATGGATTTGAAGAAAAAACCGACCCTACACAACAGGCTTGCCTTACCTGCCAATATTTTATAGGTGGCGTACCCCACCAGACGGGCCGTTTCATGCAGCCTTTTACGACATAATTGAATCATGGCTGTGCATCAAACTGGACGAAAGGCTGAGGTTCAGTTCGTTCATACTTGGCGCAAGGCTGAATCTCCACAGAGGTGAAGCATTCACCGTGGCAAGGCTCACGAGCATGGCCGTATGTCAAATATCCGATCCACTTTCAGCAAGTGAAACATAAGCCATGACAAATGTGAATTACAGCTGGTTACGGCTTGAGACACATAACCGGCTTGGCTGAGTGCCGATAGTGTATTGGTTGACGCGTCTGCGTTAACCGCCGCGCGTCTTGGAAACCAGAGGTACGAGATTCGATTCCCCACACTGCCCGTCCTTCCTGGCAGGATAGGCAGGCGAATAAAACCGCAGCAGTTGAGCGCGTCTTAAAGCACCAACGATGACAACCGGGCTTGGGCTCGAATGACATTTACAAGTCTGTGAGAGGCAAAGCATCGGTTGTGATTGATAACGAACCAAGAATGAGCCGAGAGAGGAGATGTGCATTGAATAACACAAGGTCACATGAGGATTTGAGCACATTTACGGCAAGTTGCCCGAACGGATTGTAGAACAAATGTGGCACCTGTCATGACCTAGCCCCGACACTCCTCTGGCCTATTCTTTTACACTCCTATCCTAACCAGGTCTTCATTGGGGAGGGAGTGTTTATACAAAAGATCAATTCTTAATTATCACGTCACCGGAGAAGACAGCGGTCCCCCAATGATGAACCGGTACGCAAGACTAATAATACGAGGCTCACCGCACTGAATTTCACAAGTGCGGCAGCAGAGGTGCCGAGGGGCACTTAAGGGTGGAAGTCTTGGGGCTCGTTGCAACGCCCCCCCCCCTCCCCCCTCCTTTAGCAATGGGAAATTATGGTGCCCTTTCGTCTGATTAAGGCGCCCCTGTTACAGTAAGCTCAAACATGGCGTCTCAAGATACCAGTACAGAAGAGTTCATGAAATCAGGTGAATGGGCTATGTCCGACACCCCAAGGTAACATAGAAGGAGCACACCAATCCTAGATGACGCTGTCTTTCAACCTTAGACTGGCATGTCCCATGCCCCCAATAGAAGGGTGCCCTAATCTTCCAAGAAACGCGGCACCCATGGCTTTGGTGAAGCAGCGCATCAGTGGCCGAGCAGAGGCATCGCACTTCGCCCAGAGAAGCCCAAGCCCTAGAAGCCCAGAAGCCAAGCCTGAGAAGCCCAGAAGCCCAAGCTAAAGCACAGGTGCCCTCTGCTACATGCTAAGTGAATACCCCAAAACGGGTGTTGAGGAGCTTCCCAAGCCCAAGCAGAAGGGCGCGCCACGCATACCGGCGGCTGGGAGACTCCAGGTCTCACTGCAGCTGCCCTCCCAGACCGGTACAGCCGGCTCTGAATCAGGCCAGTGAGGCGTCCATACACGTACAGGGAGGGACGCCCCAGGCTTAGGAAGCGCGGTATTCCCAAGCCTAAGTGGACAAACGCCGACATGCTTGGAAGATACCCCAGCGTATGTGGTGGTGGTACACAGTTGCTCCAATACCAAGTAGCCCGGAGGAGTGAGCCTGGCTGGGCCTGCCTAGTTCCTCTCTGGACTGGAAATCCGAAGACGAAGCACATGGGTCTTACCGCACTGGAGCAAACATGCACTTCAACGATTACGACGAGGTGAACTTCAACGAGATACTCAACAGGCACGCGGGCTGGACTTGAAGACAGAGAAGGGTGCCGCCAGTCTGGGTGGAGGCCAGAGAAAAAAGGGCAGTTGAGATGGTAGAACAGAGAAAAGTCCGACAGGAGAGTGGAGGTGAGTGGAGAAGAGGACAGGCTAGGCAGAGGGGCATGTCAGTATTGGGTTAATTCTCCTTTCATGTAGCAGAGTATCGGCCCTGGAAAGCAGGGAGCCCAGCTCAGGCGAAGGGGCGTTTGCGTGCGGACGCACATGAATGGGCCACAGCGGCGACTTTTCGTGTCGGCAAACCGAGGCACGGGCACATAGGTCTCGATAAGTGAATGAAAACTGCTCTCAGTCCCAATTTAGCGACGAACTGCGACGTTGTTCCCAGCCACTTAAACGGCTGTGAACAATGGAATGGAACAAAGAAACAACGAGACCGCGGTCTTGAATGTCTGCAAACGATATAAGCCTGCGCAGGAGTAGCAACGTGCTGATAAGGGTGGTCCCCAGTGTTATGGGCCAATTGCGATATTTTGGGAGCAAAATGTGCATGCATCATATTGCCCTTTATTTAACACTTCAACCGCTGTCACCGAGCTCTGAACGTCAACGGTTCATACAGTGCGAGGCATGTGAGTGCGCATAGCGGGGTACAGTGAGCTGGAATAGTTTTTAACTAGGGTAGGAGTGAAAAATTACATCGAAAAAAGACCGTGCGAAAGTGAAAGATTCAATTAACAAAAGTTGGAACTTCTGCGTCGTTGAGAGATGCACAGCAAACAAAGACATGCACTTCAAGTTGGCATGGACATAATATCATAAACGTGACCAAGTGTTTTGTTTTTGTTTTTTAACATCTTAAATCATTAGTGAAACGGAAAACATTGAAGAATAGTAACTTCATTACAGCGGAATGAGCGCCAAAAACAATGTAACACGAAGTTTTGATGTTTTGTTTTGATGCCGCACTTCGCACTCCCCTCCACATGATTTTTAACACAAAAAGAAAAGGAATTCAACAAGCAAAACAACAACAAAAATTCAACAAGCATAAAGCATCCAGACAAAAAACCATTGGACTCCTACACATCAACACATCGAATCAAACACAACACATGTGTATCTGGATTCTGTGAAAAAGGGTCAGGAAAGATAAATATTATCTCACTGTTTCCAGCAAAATACCAATAAATATTTCCATGAGTCACATAATCAAGCCCAACCTCATGAAGCCCTACCTTATCTCATACTTTCGAATTCTGTACGACAGCAGCATTCAAGAGTCAATGATTCTTGCAAAGTTTCTACTGCCACTTGCCATGCAATTAACCCACTTACTCTATCTTAGAGTAGCCCATATGTTGAACATCATCTCAACTCACCTCACCTACTTCTTGACGGCAGCACTTGTGATAAAACATGACAAAGCTGATTTGTGGCTCGTTTCAACTTGTGTTTTGGTTCAATTCATTTGTAACAGCTTGTTGACTCTAGACAAAGTTGACAACACACTACTCAAAACCCCTGAAATAACTTTGAAAAACCGATTCTGATTGTTATGGTTGGCCTGTTTAAAGGCAATAGTGGAAATGCTCCACAAAACATTCTGTCTTCTGCGAACGTAATGCAACTTATAGACAGCCACAAAAGCAGCTTTGCTGCTCGCCTTTTCAGCTGCTGCAAAGGCATCAATTTAGGTTTCATTATTCTTTGGAACAAAATAGTTTAATTGCATGTCATGTGGCATCATTATTTGTCTTACGAACAAAAATCGTTGTACTTAAAGATAAAAAGGCCAAATCTGGTTACAAATCATGTGTTGAAAGCGGGTGAGGTTAGCAACTAGTTGCTCCACAGGAGCAACTCACTGGATTTTTAAGGGTAGGCTTCTTTCTGCGCCCCCACACAAGTCAATATTTTTCGCATGGTTTTACTGAAAAAACAGGGTCATCCAGCCCACCCACAAAATAGACATATCAATCATGTCCACCAGCCTAGAACACTGAAGTGCGAAATAAGTCAGAGGTCTGTATGAGAAAGCAGTTTCGAAGGGAAGAATTTCGCTACCAAACACTCCCGTATTAGCTGCGCCAGGTCTGTCCCAAACCTATGTACGACAGGATAAGGTAACGTGATGAGGTAGTGGAACTGGAATCATTACTGAGCTCCGCCATGGACCAAAAAAAAAAACCGGCTAACTGAGGTTTAGCAAGACTAAAATGACGGTAAAAATAACTTCCGCGCTTTAAATCGTTTCCTTCTTTTCCTATGAACTGTTCACTCATGGGTGCCTATGAAACATGTTTGGGCGGCTGGCGAATTAATCCAATTTATGTATAAAATATGCACAATTTGGCAGTTGGGACATATTGCAAAGAAACTGGTCGACATTTTAAGCCATAGATAGTGTCTCACGATAATCGGAGAGGAAAGACAAACGCAGTGTCCTAGAATTGCCAACTGTGGGTGTAAAGCAACACCCCATGAGGAGGAATTTTTCACTCCTTTTCCCCATATCTTATGTGAATTTTTCACTCCTGCTTGACATTGTCTAATCGCACATGCCAAACCCTTATTTCCCTTTCTGAGGTTTTTCAGATGTCATCCAAAACCGAGCTCACTTGAAACCACCAAGCATAAACGAGGCTCCACAGAACCTGGACACCTATGGGTATGTCTTGCCTCACCTACATCTGAATCATGTCTATGTATGCACAGAGCAAGGGTGCCAGGTACCTCCAAGCCCAAGAACCCAAACGACTCCAGCTGCTTGCAAGCATTAAGCTTGGTTTGCTTACAAAATGCATCATAATCGGCAGCTGTGTGCCAAGTGCAACGTTTTCACGCATTCCCTACTTTTTTTTCTTTTTTTTTGGTCTCACCACCACGTCACGAAGGCAGAGCCTGTTGCAAACACCAGCGAGGCTTGGTAGAGAATTTTACCACACGTATTTCTTTTTTCCCGAGAAAACTTGACCACTAAATTGCATCACTCCCGAAATGCAGGAGTGAAACATTCAAGAAATGTCTTCTTAATTAAATTTACAAAATCAATATCACCATTTGAGCACTCATGTTAACCGATTTTAAGTCAAATCGGCTGATTACAAAAATTTTGCTAGGACAGGATCAGTCCTTACATTTATTGCACTACTTCTGTTTTTCTTGGTATCATACCAGTGTGATACCACTTTATTCTTCCTTCCTTTCCCATTGCCTTTCGAGGTACCATATGTTGCTTAAAATGTTGACCCATTTCCTTGCAACATGCTCCAACTGCAAACTTATGCGTATTTGGTGCATAAATTGGATTAATTCGCCAGCCGCCCAAACATGTTTCATGCGCACAAAAGAGTGAACAATTCACAGGGAATGAAGGCGACAATTTGAAGCACGGAACTTATTTTTACCGCCATTTTTGCCCTGATAAACGCTCGGTTAACCGTTTTCTTGGTTCATCGCGGTGCTCAATGATGATAAATCTAGGCCTTTACAGCGTCTAACTCACCAGGCTACCTGACAAGGCTATCCTACTCCTGCCATATAAAGCTTTGGAA